TAAAAGCGGGGAGTGCAAATTTCACAAGGGCAGTCGGTCGTATGATTCTTAAATTTTTTTTGTAGGAGGAAACAAAGCATTCGCCAAAAGCGTTCGGGACGGGATAGTCCTTGGCAGCTGGAGCAAACCAAGCCCCACGAACCCCAACTATGACCTTCTTCCACCCTTTCTCAGATTTAAGTTTGTCCATACAGATGGATCTTTTATCGATAGGGTAAAAATGGTAATATAACTCTTCCAACCTGATCTTGCTGACCTTGTAAGGAGAAGATCAATTATATCAAGAACTAGGCCTCTGTCACGATTCAGAAGCAGCAGGACGGATATAACCCTAAGAAAATTAGGGTTAACTTGGAGAGGGGAAAGATTCAACTTATTGAACACATAACAGAAGAAAGGATGTAGAGGGAATCTAATGATGTTTAGGTGGTGAAGAGAAAACAAGGTTTCGCCGGGAAGAAGGCCGACACTAGTGTTGATATTTACACTTTTGGGGCATTCCCTAAGATGAATATTGTTAGGGAGTCGAAATTTCCTGCGAAGGACATCCAAATCAATGGGCATGATGGGAACGAATACGATCCCTGGGGAAGTATGCAAAGATTTTAAGAAGAAAAAGGCAGCTAGATTAACCTTAAAGGATTGAAGGTTGTAAAAAACGTTGCGAGATCGCTGAAAATGGAGAATCTCTTGCAGGAATTCGCCGGGGAAAGTTTGACTTACTTGGAAAAGATGAACAATGACTTGATTGATAGCGAGATATGATAGAGACGGTAAAGAAGGCTGATGGTACATCGTGAGGGCTTATAAAAGGAAAGTGGACCTGAAAGACGAGACGCCAGGAAACTGAAGAGTTTTTGAATTTCAAAATATCGAATTCTGAACCGACTGCTTGCTCCCCCACAAAATCGTCTTAAGCCGCCGAATCATGATTGGTTTCCATTAATAATCACACCCTAATTAATGAGGGAGTGATTATGGGGGCAATTGAGGATACCAAAAACTGCTCGGGCCGGGTACAGCCCACATGCTGAGTAATAGGCCTGATAACTGACCCAGATCCGAACCAGGCTCTCAACAAGATTGGCCCAAAACTAAAGAAGCAGTCGAGGATCCACTAAACGTGATCAGGCCTGTAGCTCGAAAAGCCTAGGAGGAGGTCCAATACCAGGAGTCAGGTGGGAAGCTTCTGGAAGGCATGTAACGGCTTTTAAATAGGTAGAAAATAGAGGAAAAGGAGATGAAATCTTTGAAGTGCATAGTTACTCTGTTAAAATTGAGAGGAATTTCTTGCATCTTCAAATGACAATGAATTATTTTTTTAAAAAAATTAGCATACCTATTTATAAAATTACTAATAACGAAATAGTATGTTATGTTTCATTGGGTTGGTACACTTCTGACATGATATGTCTAGCGCATCCAATATATACTCGTACACTTGGTTGGTGCAATTATTAATTTGACACTTGAAGTCTTGAAAGACTCATTAAAGACAACACACTTTTTGAATTACTCATTTAACCAGAGGCTGGTGTTAAGGTTACAATAGTGTTTTCGTGGTTTGTTCTCTAGGTTCGAAGGGTTTGTTTGCCTTTAAGAGTTACAGTGTTATTAAAAAAAAAAAAAAAAAAGCAAATATAAAAAGAAGATAGTAATAAGGATAATTACAAAAAAAAAAATAAAAATAGGCAAGTCTATACTAGCAGGTCAGTGACTTAACAATATAAGATCCTTCGTTTCTAAATGGGGATAAAAAATTTGAGTTTTGATGGAAATATGGGCAAAAAAATAAATAAATACGGCAAGTCCTTGGAATGATATGCTATTTCTCACATTATTACCTCTATAAGAAAGTTGATGAGACTTGGAGTACACATATAAGTTAAAATTCTAGTATGACCATATCGAACAATGAGTTTAGATAATCTGTATTGGTACGACAGTGATGAGATTTTAATTGGGTTAGTCAAGACACGTAGATAAAGCATGATTATAAATGGAAAAAGAAATTATCAAGTAACTAAATATTGTCATTGTATTCGGAAAGAAGCCACCTAAAGTCATGTCATCCTTATAATTCCCAATATAGGATTCACTTTTATTAAAATTATATTAGATAATATTAGACATTAGACATACAAGAGAGACTATTTTTTTTTATTTCGAACTCATAACCTTCTAAATTATAATAGATCTTATCTTTATAAATTTTAAAAAATCAGCCGTTTTCCTTGTAATGCAACAAAACTCTTTAAAATAAAATATTTCATTTGTTTTTTTTTTCTTCCTATTTTTATGTTCTATTTTAAGTAATAAATTCTATTTACTACTCAAAATTTATGATTAACTCCTCGACTAAATCTAATGTCAAAATAACAATTAGATATATCGAATGCTTTGTTTGGTTGGACGAATGAAAAAATGAGATGGAAGAGATAGGGAGAGGGATGGATGCGGTATCCTTAGAAATGGGCACTACGTAGCCAGGAACTATGGGGGCAATCTTTAATAACAATAATATATATTACCTCCATCCCATTTTAAATGTCGTCTTCGAAAATTGTGACTCATAACTTTGTAAGTCACAATTTTCGAAGGCGACATCTAAATTGGGACGGAGGGAGTATATAATATAATTTGAATCAAAACAATATATGTAAAAATTAAAACATTCATTCATAATATTTTTATTCAGTACACAATTGTCCTCTTAATAACTAATATTTCATACTATCAATGTACTCTTAATAAAAATTCATTCATATTAAAAATAAAAAATAAAAAGCAAGATATGGAGATAACAAACCTTATAAGTTATAACCAGATAACCTAATCAATTGAAAAATTTGATAGAGTATAAGTCTTATTTATAAGTCTTATTTAGAGAATAGTAATTAGTAACACAATTACACAAATAAATTTTGAAAGAACAAGAAGCCTTAAAATAATTTTGATAGTAATAATTAATAATTTTTCTAATAAAAATTATAATATCAAATAATAATCGTAAATTTAGAATAAAAAAATATCAGTGTCCCTGTAAATATATATATATATATATATATATATATATATATATATATATATATATATTTTGTGAAATATTAAAGATTCGCGGAAAGTAAAAATGTGATGGAAACAATCTATTTGTTTGTTGTAAAGTCAAAAGTGAAATAATATCTTGATGAAATGTTTTTTTTTTTTTTTTTTTGGAGATGGGAGGGTTTTATCATTTTTTGTTTGGTTGAATGGAATGGATAACAGAAAGGATGAGTGAAGTGACAATTTTTTCTTATTTGGTTAGAAGGAATGGAATGGAAGTTCTTATATTATTTTTACCAATATACGCTTTTATATAAAATTTTAAAAAGTAAATATTTATTTTAATTTTTTTGAAAAGATTAAAATTGTAAATTACAAATTTATTTGTAGTTATGCAGCTTATGCCTTCTTTCTCTCCTCTCTTCCCCCAAAAAGTGGGCGGATAGAAAAACATAAAATCTCCTTGTTTCCTCCCTTTCTTTCCTTCCTTCCAACCAAATACGAAAATATTTAACCATCGCTCCTCTCATCCATCCCCTCAATCTTTCCCTCCAACCAAATATAGCATAAAAGTTATCAACAACTCCTTATTTTCAGATTCTCTCTCTCTCTCTCTCTCTCTATATATATATATATATATATATATATATATATATATATATAATAATTGAACTTATTTAGCAAACATAACCATTACACCCTTTTGACATTTCATAAAATTTCCATCTTTAAATTTTTTATAGTTAAAAAATTTCCATCTTTAAATTTTTTATAGTTAAAAATTAAGGCCATTCTAGTAATTTCATAAATATATCATAGTGTTATAGGCTTGAAATTTAGTAAAGGTGACAGTTGCAAAAGTCAAACAGTCGGTAGACAAAACTAGCTTTTATGGCAGCTATGCGACACCCAATGATGGGTGTGTGATGGTTGTGTGCCAGCCATACAACAGTCCACAGGGCCTGCGTGGGATGGGCTGGACCAGAAGTCGATAACCATTAAAACAAGTGGGCTCCCAAAAACACTGAAATTTGCAAACAGATTGTGACTATACTTTATGGCTTTTTCGAACCCACTAAGGAATGGTCATGGCACCATATACGTTGTCTGGAATGTGCTTGATTTACCAGTTGTACTATCGATAGGTTAGATGAAGGTAGGCCCACGATTATAACATTTATCATCATTGGCCCATTAGTCCAAACACAATGGTATCTCTCCTTTTATAGTAAAAATAAAATGTAAATTTTTTTAAGTTTCTTCAAAAGCATTGTGAAATTTCTTTATCAAAAGACAGTCAAATTATTATTAACAAATTGGAGTACTTTATTGACTGAATTGATCGATTAAATCATGTTATTGTTGATTGGAAGTATATGCTACTACATAATGCCCACTCGTTGAAAATATCAAATTGTCTTAATAATAAATAGTTACTATTGGTTACTAAATAATCTGAGTAATAAGTATATATATATATATGAACGTGAATCGAGAGTTCCACTTCAAACTATCACCTCAACTTTGGCTAAATGAGGTCGGTAAGTCCACCCAATCATAGTTCGTCATATAAGTTATGCATGTTACCTTCGTAGCTCAAGTTCGACTGCAAACCTTCACCCTAGCTTTGGTTAAATGAGGTGAGTAAGCCTATCCAATCATGGTTCGTCATATCGGCCATTTTGCATGTCGTTCGGTTCATAATTCTTTTTCAAATGTTATACATCTCCATGAACCGATCGGTTCGGCCAGTTTTCATCGTTATTCGCTCGATTCCATTACATCGCGATCAATACTGATAATGCGACGGCTAACTATGCACCCAATACATTAACCCAAAAGTGGGCCAACATAATTAAAGCATAACCCAAAATTGGGCTGATGGAACAACCATGGCCCAGGCGAATCAAATGAATTCCTTTGTACTCCAGCCATGGGTTACTTTCCGTAATTATAGAGAGTTCGACTTCGCGGCTTCGCCCCAGTTTCGGGTGAATGAAGTGGGTAAGACCACCCAATGCATTAACCCAAAATTGGGCTGATAGAACAACCGTGGCCCAGGCAAAACAAACCAATCACCCATCAGAAGTTCCCAAAATTTACCACACAGGCTGAGGAGGGAACCCTAGAGCGAGGATCGTCCGGCGGCCGAGGAGGACGGCGAGAGGTGGCGTGGGTGAATGGGTTCTTTCGTTGATTCCGTGAAGAACTGAGTTTTGTGAGGAAAATCAGAGAAAATCCGAGAGCAAGCAAACATGAATACAATCAGGTCACTAAAACCTCTCCTCGGATCGACCGTAATTGGTTTCAGAAACCTCTCAGCTTCATCATCTTCGTCGCTGATCCATCATCAACGTCAAATTTTCCACAACCCTCACTATCAGATGACGATTCCACTGTTACAGTGCACATCAACATCCATCCGCAGATTCAGTGACAATTCGTACAAGAAGAGGCGTCCATGGAATTTCGGCTTCTTGATTGTACCCGAAAAGAAGGCTTACATTGTTGAACGCTTCGGGAAGTACTTCAAAACCCTAGAGCCCGGAATCCACTTTTTTCCTCCGATAGCTTACCGGGTGGCTCACGTCCACTCGCTCAAAGAAGAAGCTATCCAGATCCTGGACCAGTCCGCTACAACGAAGGACAATGTTCCCATCTCCGTAGATGGCGTGCTTTGTATAAGAATTATAGATCCAATTCTGGCCTCCTATGGCGGAGGCGGCGTTGAGGATCCGATTTATGCTGTCGTCCAACTCGCGCAGGCCACAATGCGGAGCGAGATAGAGAAAATCACTCTTGACAAAACTTTTGAAGAGCGAGAAAGACTAAACAAGGAGATTCTCGAAGCCATTAATACCAGGCCTCTTCGTACAGTTTGGGGTTTGGAGTGTCTTCGCTATGAAATCAAAGATATAACTCCTCCTGCTGGTATAATTTCTTTTTACTTTTATTTTCTACTACACCTTATTATATTGTGATTGCTTAACCTTCCAAAAAAAAAAAAAGCATACATTTTACTTCAATACAGTTTCTATTTTTTTTTTTTTCTTTTTTTTTCCTTGTCCTAAATCCCAGTTTTCTATTAATTTGGGGGTTTTGTCTATAGAATTTTTAATTTTTATATACACTTCATTAATACCTTTATATATATATATATGATTGACATATTTTGAAATTAATCAATGAAACAATAAAAAAAATATATATGTCAATCATTCAAAAGTTTTCCAAAAATCCCATCTTTAATTTTTATTTTTATATACATTTTTATTCATCTCAAAAGTTTTCCAAATGTCACATATTTTCTTTATGAGATTTTTAAATATTATATACATTTTTTTATCTTTGTCTTTCTGTTGGTTAAATCTAAAAGATGTAAGTCATATCAATAGTCTAGTTTTCTAGAGTCAAATACTTATTCAATAAAGTTTTTATCTTTATATATATATACATTATAGAATTCTAATTTTTTATTAATTAATTCCATAAGATGTTATTCATCCAAGCCAAAACGTGGTTAAGTTTTCAAAAGAGAGATTTTTTCTTTGTACGGGGAGTTCATTCCCAAATGACATAAAAAAGTATTCTTTGTGTATAGCTAGTGCATCTACATAGTCGACGCTATATTGAAAAAAATAATAAAACATTATACAAAATAAAAAAACAAAAAAAAAAAAACTAGCCTTTTGAATTCATTATTTTCATTAGGGTGTCTTCTTTTATTACTTTAGTCTTTATCTCTTTGGTTAAATATAAACATATATACATAGATCCATTTTGGTTTATTTTTTATTAAATTGTTCGACTCTATTATTTTCTTTAATTTGTTTTCCTTTTGTTGTGTATTTATGTGATTTTTCGTTGATCTTTTCTAAATACTAATACATATTATATTCAATTTCAAATGTTATAATTTGGATAAAGGTGATGATATACAAAGTTGGCATTTTAAACACAACTCAAAACGTTATCATAACATCAGCCATCATAAATATGTCCGATCTTCGAACAATATATATATATATATATATATTTTCGGTAAATAAGAACACTATATTAAAACTCTTCTTTATTTTGATTTTTTTTTTTAATCAATTTGGATATTTTGTATCCATATTTGTACGTACATTTAGTAGTGTATAGCATTTTTAATCACTATAATCCATCATTCAACCATCGTGCGTACACATCTTTTGTTGATAATGCATTGTTGTCAAAGTGAATTTTCTAACCTATATTAAAGGTTGGGAGTGATTTTTTTTTTTTAAAACTTAATCCTATGTTAAAGGTGTGAAGGAAGCTATGGATTTACAAGCTCAGGCAGAGCGAAGTAAAAGGGTCGAGATTATTAATTCAGAGGCAGATCAACAAAAAAACATTAACATTGCTGAAGGACACAGAATATCAACGATTTTGGCGTTAGAGGCAGCTAAGATATCTAAGATTAATAGAGCGAATGGAGAAGCTGAAGCGGAAATCGCTATAGCAGAAGCAAAGGCGAAAGGTATCGAGGAGGTGTCAAGAGCAATGAAAGAAGCAGCAATTGTTGTAGAAGAAGCAAAGAAGAAAGGTATTGAGGAGGTGTCAAAAGCAATGAAAGAAGTTGGTGGTGCGAAGGAGGTGAATTTGATGGACGCAGAGAAGTTCATGACCGAGTTACATGATAGTTTCAAGGGTAAATTACTTTGACCTTTCTTGAAGTTTGGCTTAATTACTATCAGATTAAAGTTGTAAAAAAATACGAGTCAACCTCCCCTTGGTATTGAGGAGGTATCAAAAGCAATGAAAGATGCGGCAATTGTTGTAGCAGAAGCAAAGAAGAAAGGTATTGAGGAGGTGTCAAAAGCAATGAAAGAAGTAGGTGGTGCAAAGGAGGTGAATCTGATGGACGCAGAGAAGTTCATGACCAAGTTACAAGATACTTTCAGGGTAAATTACTCTGACCTCTCTTGAAGTTTGGCTTAATTACTCTCATATTAAAGTTGTAAAAAAATACATGTCAACCTCCCCTTGGTGATAGTTGACCGTCAATCCCGTTAAAAGACCATTCTTAAATTCCTAAAATGCCCTCATGTACAGTCTCCTCTCTCCCTCCCTCACATATTCTCACTCCCCCTCAATACTTACCTCTCACTAATGCCCTTTCAAGCGTCTTCAATCCATTCAACTTAACAACTCACCACCTGGTTTCTACATCAAACCAGAATGCTGGAATGACCTTATTTTGTGGAGTTTCTACCAACTGGAGTTCTACAGGTTTTCTGGTCCACAAGCTACTGTTTTCTGTTGCACTTTATTTCATCTGGCTTGAGAGAAATGCTAGGGCTTTCAGAAATAGATCTTCCTCTCCTCTCCACATTGTTGATCAGATAAGGAAATGTGTCAGAGGGCGATTAGCTTCAATCATGCTGAGGTACCCGGCTGATAATTTGGAAGACCTACAACATCTCTTCTTGGAGGGATGCAATTTTGCCCCTTGGTCATGTTGACGCTGGTATGCATTCTTTAATTGACTTTGCCTCTGCTGTGAAGGTCTGTTCTGTTAGGTTCATTTTGCTGACAAGCCTCACCATTGTTACAAAAATGTTTTTTTTTAAAAAAAAAAAAAAATCTATTTGCGCATGAACATTTATTGTATTTCTAATTGGTTATAAAAAAAACTTGTTGATTTGGATTTGAAAACTAAAAATACAACTAAGCTGTGCGGAACATGGGGTGTGAATCCATGGTGGAAGGTCTAAAGGAGATGATAGGATGTGATAATAGTGATGAAATCCAGTGACGATTCGATGGATTCATTGATTTAGACAGAACTCAAGAGAGAGTGGGGTCGTAGGCGGTGCACGACAATGGTGCAATTCGATGGTGTCCAGTGGTAGGATTTTATAGTTTCTATACTTCTCAATGGCGGGGAAATGAGGAATGTTGATTAGTGCACCAAGTTTTTGATCTGTAATACACACACACATATACATAAAGTCTACAACACTATAGCTATGTTTATACTATTTATGATATGTAAGATATTAAATACAAGCGGATTATTTAGGCAACATAGTGACGATAAAAAAAAAAAAATCAATAAAAATCGAAGGTTCTATATACAATAAGATTGAGAGAGAGAGGCAGAATCGTGTGCACAAAGTGGGAGACGGGAAAAAGGGGCGGGAGTTAAAAAAGAAAAAAAGGTGGGAGTCTGAGCACTAAAATTTAATAAAACATTAACAAGGGTCTAAAAGTGTTGTAGACTAAAATAATAAGGAGCATCCTACAAAAGGTAACTAATTAACAACACTTGACTATGTATCTTGTAAATAACACGTTGTTAATAATCATTTTTCTTGTAGTGGGCTAGAGACAGTGGTATTGACTTTGGATATCTGCTAATATTTAGTACATATCTTGTGGCAGAGAGGGTGATTGTGGTGGAGAGAGATTGGAGAGCGGTGTCGTGGTGGTAGTGGAAGGAGGGGGCAAGCAGTTGGGGGAGGTTGGGGAAACTATAAAATGATTTGTGAGATCAACTGACTAATTCTAACAAGGGGTGTGAGAAGTTTTTGCAAAACTTTAATATGATGGTAATTAAGATAAACCTCAGGGGAGGTGAAGGTAATTTTACCCTACTTTCAAAGAGAGTACCACCGTATTGATTCCTCCCCCCGGCTACTACTGAAAATGGTAACATTTCCTGCTAACATTTCCAGCAAGTTGCAGCTACTTGGGCAGTTGCATACAACAGAGCTTTAAAGAACAAAACAAAATAAAATTTTTCAAAAATAAAATTTTTCAAAAATAAAGTAGGAAAAGTTAGGAAGTTTCGAAATTTTTGGGTGTTTTTGAGTAAGATATACTAATAAACTTTGGTTGCTTTTTATATTATTATGTTCTACAGTATTTGGTTGAAATTTTCATAGGGTTTGGTTGCCTTTTCTATTAGAATATATATTTGGAGTCGAACTGATTTATGGGAAGGGGCTGATTGTCTCATGAACATCATCTCTTACTTATATAAAATTAGTCGTATTATAAATCCCTTTCATTACTCTTTATATTAGTATTATGTTGAAATCATCTCCTCCTCGTGTAAAATTAGCCGGATTTGTCAAACTATAAATCCCTATCCTTCATTACTCTTTATATTAGTATTATGTTAGACAGTATTTGGTTGAAATTTTCTGGCTGCAGGACATTGATTCCTCTCCTCCAAGCTGGTTATTTCCATGTTCCTATTTGGTCCTCTATTATACAGTTTACATACATTAATATAGATACTTGCTTAACCTTCAGCTGAAAATGTCAAATATTAGGATTATTATTTCAAAACTATAGTTTTTATTTATAACAAGATGCAAAAAATGATTTAGAAACTTTATAGGAGTGGATTAATTTCAAATAACACTATGAAAACCCCCCTACCTCGCAACCTAATTCCTATAGTTTCAAATTCAATTTCTTTGTTTCAAATCTTTTATATATATTCAAGGGCATTTTCTCATGCAAAGCAAAGTTTTTATTTTCAACATATTAATAAAATCTATAAGGCTTAATCGCCGTAATTGATTTATTCTTAACATAAAAAAAGAAAAAGAAAAAAAAAGGGAGAAATGTAAAAAATATTAAGTGATTAATACAAATTGAGAGTATAGTTACAAAAATGAAATATAAGTGATATCTCCTCCTAAAGGTGTGGAGTCATAAAGTTATGTTACTTATTATATTCATTTTTTAAAATTATTTCTGTTCAAAATATATTGAATATATATTTAATATAATTTTAAAAATGTTATAAGGTGGTTAAAGTTAACAATTTTCAGAATATTTTTGTTTCCTTGTCTTAATAGATACCAATTTCCCATTAATTTGAGTTTTCTGTATCTATACCTACATATCACTAAAGTTTATAGAATTTTTAATATTTATATACACTTTAATACATTGTTATATTTATTGTCTTGTTGATTAATTTCAAAAGATGTGACTCATTCAAAAGTTTTCCAAAAGTCACATATTTAATTTTATTTTTATATACATTTTTATTAATTAAAAAATATGTGATTCATACCAAAAGTCACATTTTCTCAATAAGATTTTTAATTTTATATAAATTTTTAGATTTTTATTTATCTTTTGAAAGGGCATCAAGTTGAATGATATAATTTTTTCATTCTCGTAAACAAGGTAGGGGTTCGAATAAAAGAGAGACAAAATTTGTCACATATTTTTTTTAAATATAATTTATATTTATATATATACATTTAAAATTTTTATTTTTTTATTAATCAATTTCAAAAGGCCTGACTCATTCAATGAATTTCCAAAAGATACATATTTGTTCTCAAAAGATGGTCATTATAGGTTTTTTTTTTTTTTTTTTTTTTTTTTTTTGGTGTTTTTCGACACATATAATTCAATTAAACAGTGACATTACTATTGATATGTATTGCATCCAAAAGCGAAACATGCCACACATTTCATTCTAAATCAGAAGTCTCTAACCATAAAGAGCGTTTTTGCTCCTTCCATGAGCCACGCCATGACAGGTCCTTGGCATCCAAAGGTCCCAAATAAGCTTAAAACTGGAGTTCTTAAAAATAAATACACCGTGGTTAAAAAACAAGAAAGCTAGCTTTTGAATTCATTATTATATTTATTACTTTTTTTAGTTATATATGCATATATAAACAAATTTAAAAATAAAAAATATATATATATATATATATATATTTATTTTATTTTATTTTAATTTTTTTTTTTTCTCTATTTACTTTAAGATTGTTCTGAATTAGTCTATTTACTATAAGATTGTTCTGAATTAGTCGGGGCGGGGCAAAATAACTAATTTGTGTACAACACTTAGAATATTATCTAAAATACTCTAAAATGGTATAGTAGAGTAACCTTATAAATATTATAGATATAGGGTTCTAGAATTCTACCAAACGTTCACGTTCAATTGGCACATTTGTATCATTTGTAACCGTTTATTTTAATAGCTTGTCTTATAAATTAAGGTTGCTAATGTGCTCCACAGCACCGATAACTCCTTTTTCTTTTTATGTTAGATGTGATATTCTTCTATTCATTAGCAAAGATGGTAATGTACTTTTGTTCTGAAATAGATTGCACATTCTCTTTCAAAATAGAAGGTTTTCAAATTCAGAAGATTTTCAAATTCAGAAACAACTGTAATTAAAGAGTTCTACCAAACGTTCAATTGGCACAAATATTACTATCTCGCGTACTTCCTTCTTAATAAAACGGATCAAGTCTAGTCTAGATAACTTCGAAGCAAGTGAAGTTGATTTCGTACGATCAAATTCCGTAATGACTATAATAAAAGAAAATATTACATTAACGACTATAATGAAAGAAAATATTACATTATTATACTCCGCATATGTTTAATATGGCTTCAATTTCTAAGTAAAAAGAAAGAAGGAACGAACAGAGAGAACATCATATATTAGCATCCAACATTATGGTTGCACGTACATTCTATTTTCATAATCGTAGCTATTCATACAGTAATGTGAGAGTAATTTTTTTTGACTTAATCCTATTTTAAAGGGGGTGAGAGTAGCCATGAATTTACAAATTGAGGTCAGAGCTAAAACTGTGTGTGTATATATATATCTATATATATATATTTATACATAAATTTGTAAAAATTGACACAATGCCCCCTATAAAATTAATAAAATGGCTCCTCTATCCCTGAATCCACTAAATTTTATTTTATTTTATGCGTATAATTTCTAAATATTTATAAAACACCTCATAAAATTTATAAATTATCCCCCATAAAATTATCTATTTCTAAAAATGTCTTTAATTCTTTATTCATTTTCCTTCTTATCATTTAAATTTCTTTTTGTCATCTTCAAAACTTTTGCATTCTCTTTCTACAGTTAATACCTATCGTTTCCTTCAAAATTCTCTCATATTTTTTTCTTTCTATTTCATTTTCTTCTTAAAAAATTCCTTTTTATTTTTAAAAATTTCTTTTTCTTGCACTAATGCATAATTTATGTGCAATAACCTTTTTTTTTTTTTTTTTTTTTTTTTTTTTTCTTCTTATTCATTTTTTATTCACTTATTCTAATACACTGTTATTACACTATTATATTTTCTGCCTGCTTGGGAAAAAAATATTTTATCAGTGCTAACATGCCCCCCCTGAACCAAATTTCTGGGTTTGCCCCTGAGTAGAAGTAACTACGAAAGGTACTGAGATGGTGTCGAAAGCAATTGAAGAAGAAGGGGTGTGAAGGCCATTAATATGATGATGGCGGAGAGTATACCACATTATTGGTATACGCACTCAATTAAAAAGCACCACTCGAGAATAAATCTTGAATGCTCCTAGTGTATCGTGCACCGGGTTCATCCGAATCGTGCGTGCACAACATGTACTCGCATGTACACAACGCGTACTGCCAAGGGCAAATCCGAAATTGTCAATGGAGGTTAATGTTAAACATAAATTTGAGTGATGTCAGATGCTCATGTTGCCCTTCCCTCTCCAAATACAAGCTGAGATGTTTTCTGATTTATCAACTGAAAAATTTAGAAGTCATGCCGTTCATTTACATATATGTCTATACTAGTTGATGTATCATGGATTTATGGCTTGTTTGACTTGAGCTTGTTCAGTTGAGCCTTTGTTTTAAAACTGTGGCTTAACTTTTGAGCTTGTTTGGATGGACTAATATTTTGGTTTGGATTGACTAAATTTGCCCCTGCATCTGCCCTTGCGTACTACTCGGATAAGCCCGGTGCACGGTACGCCGGGCACACCCAAGACCTTCTCCCATCTCATTGAGTAGTGTATTTTGATTGAGTGAACGTACCATGACCAGCTCACCTAATATCTGTCTCCTTCAGAGACACAGACAGAAGACTACCACCATGCTTCCCAATCCACAATGAAAATGGAGCTAATTCCAACAACTTGATATCTCAAGTAGCTGCAAACAGTGGATAAATATTGAAGTTGATGTAAGTAGCGAAATTTAATAGTGTTTTAAAATTTTTGGTGTTTTGGGGGGAAAGATAGTAAACTTTGGTAGATTTTATGTTATTTGTATTAGATTGAAATTTCTCTTTCAAATTTGTTAATGCATGATTTAAAAAATTTAAGTTAGTAAGTTACTATGTTTAGATCAAGTTGGGAGTGCACAGGTGACACTTCAAAGTGGTGTAGATGATTCTCTAGGAACAGTTATAATAGAAAACTGTCCAATATTAACGAGATGCAAAAATCAATTTGGAAACTTTATGAGTGAAATTTCAAACAAAAATATGAAAATTCCATTTCCTTTGACCTCTCGATGAGTCAATGTTATATTTAATCAAACAAAAAATCTGTCCATTGATTTAATCTGCTTTTCGAAATTCATGTTAATTTCATTATTTCAAATCCATTGATTCATCTGGTATCTGATATCCCATTCTACATGCAAAGCAAAGTTTATATTTTCGATGAATAAAAAATCTAAATTTTTTAAATTCCAAAAGAAAAAAATATATATATTTTCAACAAGATAAAATCTATAAGACTTTGATCTCTATAATGTGAGCCTTGTATAAAATAAAAACACATGAATATTAATATAAGATAATATTTGTTAATTCTTGTAACAGATAGAAGTTAACATGTCACAAAGGCTTGAATATGTCCCATGGTTTCAACTTCAACACCAACCCATAATACAAGATTGTTACCTACTACTGCATGTGAATTGTAATTTTGTCAGCTAAAACAGTTGGAAGAGTATGGCCAATATTGAAGCAACTGCATGAATGTTGAGAAGAGTAATCCGGCTGCCGGTGTTTGTAGAAGAATCATCTTCAGCGGGAGAAGGTACCGGAGATGGTACGAATTCTACAACGTTGACGGCCAGTTTCATTCCGTGATAGCAGTAGCCTCCGCTACTGAGAAAGTAAAACGGCCTGGCCTCTGTGAGATTAAAAACATCTCGCCCACCCCTAGTGATGTTCTTTATGAAGTTTCGGTCATTGCATTGTTCATAGCATGTTTTGTTCACCTCCAACACATTGTAGTAGTGCTTGTCGAATCCAAAATCTAAAAGGGGCAGCGAAACAGTGAAGAATTATGCACTATTAAGTTATAATATTAACATTCGGGAATAATAATAATAATAATGTTATAATATTCAGGAAAATGGAAGCATTATGCACTGTCAAGGGTCAAGAATTGGTATTTTCTACTTCTATAAATCATGACCCAACTTAAAATTTCAAGTGAAGAGACTGGTACTCTACTTTGATGAACATAATTGCACAAAGAAATAGCTCACAATAATAATAATCACACTGCATTTTTTTTTATTAAAAAAAATTGCAGATTCTTATCAACAGATTTTTAGCAAATGATCTTGTTCTCTCCAAACATTATGATTTATTGTTGAAAAAAAATAAAACAGGGAATATTTTGGAATATTAGGAGATTATTATTATTATTTTTATCACTTAGAAATAAAACAGAATACTGGGATTACAATAATATATATCAAACAGGGGGCTATGGCAATTAAATTTTTTTCCATGTTTGTAGCTAATTTTCAAACTAAATGCAAGCAATTATAATGGATCTTAATTATACAGAGTAATTAATTAATTTTCTTAAACACTAAGGCAAGAAAAATCTGATGCTTAGTAAAATGCAAGCACTTTAAAGTTTAAAGGGCTTTCTTTTGAAGTTCTGAATGCTGAATATGTACCCAATACATGAGCTCTGTTTTCCAAAGCCATAAAAAAAATTTAAAAAAAAAAAAACAAATAACTAAATAAAAATTATTTATCAATGTCGAAAAACCAGCCAATTTTGTTGAATTAAGTGATTAATAAAAATTGGGAGTATAGTTACAAAATTGAAATGTAAGCCACATCTGTGAAACATCAAAACACTAGTACATACACTAAATATATATATAAACATACATACATACCGAAAAAGGAATAAAAAGATAAGACAATGAAGGCGTATCTAAGAGTGGGCCACCCAAAAAAAAATATATATTATTAGAAGTAATTTTAGTTCAACCAAAAAAATAAATTTAGTAGTACTACCCATCTCAAAATAAATTAATCGACCCCATTATGCATTTTTAAATAGGCTGTGAAGCCATTTCAAGTCGAGTCTCGTGTAGTAGGACAGAATTGTGTACAGAGATTGTGCCTTTTGTGCGTGTGTGTGTGTGTGTGACTGTGTGTATATACATATATATATGTTATTATGTAGATATATATATATATATATATATATATATTGTGTGTGTATATATGAGGGAGAGAAGATTTACAGAGCCAATCGCCAACGTAGAATCGCTCTTGAATGGACCAGTTCGTGTAGTTGATGTTCGGTGTCCAACCTTGCTTTCCTCCGACCTTGTGAAGCACTGGTGATCGGCAAACTGCGCACGTTAGCATCCCCGCCATCATTATCAGCGACACCAAACCCACTCTCCTCAAACCCTCCATCACTACTACTGCTACTACAGCGAACAAACACAGTACTCTATCTCAGATGTTACTCTACTCTCTATCTCTAAACCATTTACAGGCATATCTGTTTACTATATATAACAGGGAAGAGGCGATTTTTTTGGAAAGAAAAAGTTGGCGCCATTTCCCACCAGCGTATTTTAGCAGTAACATCCAGACTGGTGTGTACGAGTCATGCTAAACTTGCATCGAGTATTTGGGGCTTATCACCGTACACGTGTTCAGATCGCCTTTGGTTTTGGCTGGTTGCAGATTATCACCGTACCAGAGATGCACATGGTGTACATTCCCATTATGTACCGCGGCAAAATCCTCGTGAGTAAGACCAAAATGGAAAAAGAATAATGATTAATAAAAGTGCTAATAAATTAATACTTAATTAATTGGTGTCACACTTGTTACCATTAAGTTTTATTGGGACCTTTATACTCCTTCGTCTCAAAAACGAGTATTTATGGAGAATATAAATATTCTTTTTGGGATGAAGAGAGGGTATTACTCCATATTTTTGTTTTTGAAATTAGTTGCTCAAGGAAGATTCTTTTTTCTGATTTGTTTTATCAATTTCATTAAGTAATGTTGCTATAGGTTTGATTCTGTTATATCAGTGATCGATATCGCAACCGCAAACCTTGATTCAGATATACATGTGTCCAATTTGTTGATTGATAACGGTAACTTACCTGTTATTTTTTGCAAACATACTCGCAATTTTTCTTTCATTTTTGTATCCATACTCGCAATTTGTCGTTTCTAGTTAGATGGGTTAATTATTCAAATTTGCACTAGTTTAGTCCAAAAGAAGTCTCAAAACTTAAATCACATAATTATACTCAACAGATGAAGTTCCCACATTCTAAACGTGCTCTCACTCCCATTCTCTATTTGCGTGATTCAAATTTAATTGCCATAGCATATAGCTCCTGTTTTGTTGCTATATTATAGTAATCCCAGGACCCTCCCTGTCTGATTTGCTTAGTGATAAAATAAATAAATAATTAAAATAAAATTAAGAAGACAAAGGGATTTGTGTTTGTTTAATATTCCAAAATTTTGTCTCTTTTCATTTTTATTTTATTTTCAGCAATCAATCAAATCATAATGTTCGTAGAAAAAAAAGAACATTTGCTAAGAATCTGTTGTAAATGTGGAATAAATTATAATAATTATTATTTTTGGAGCTATTTCTTTGTGCAATATTTATATTCATCAAGTATTGTAGTCCCTTCAGTTGAAATTAATTCGGGTCATGATTTTTGAGAATACCAATTCTTGATCCTTGACAATGCGTAATTGCTTCCAGTTATCTCTGAATTTTTATGATGACAAAATTTTTAAATTGGTAAATAAATGGCTTTTTCATATTGTTATTTGAAATGCACTCCTATAAAGTTTTCAAATCGATTATTTATTTATTTATTTGCACCTTGTTATATTTCTTTAGTTCATTAGTTTTCTCATTTAAAAGTGTCACCAGCTTTTTTAAATTTTAATTTTTTATAGGTTTAGCAACTATGTATTAATGTATGTAAAATGTACGGTAGAGGTTGAAATGGTAACACGAAAATAACCGGTACGTTTGGGATAGGAAAATAGAAGGAAATAAGCGTTTTATATTAGTTGTAATACTTTTAATATTAATGGATTATATTTTTCAACTTTTCCAATTTACCTGTTTGTAAAAGATAAAAGACAAAAATAGCATTATTATATCCCATAAATTTAAATAAGATGATAGTTTTGAAAACTCATTTGTGTTGATCCAATAAAATAATATTAAAAGTTAATTTCTTAAAAAAATTAAAATTTTAAAATGAATATTGGGGGTTGTTTGTAGTTTTAACCCGTTTAAGTTAGAAAAATAAACAAGTTGATTATTATCATTTCATTTCTATACATTTCATATTGACAACCAAACAATAAAATAAGGATGGTCATTCCTTTCCATTTCATTCTCATTCTCATTCCATTCCTACTTACATTCTTGCACACCAAACGCAACATTAGTATTTTTCTTTTCCATCTAATTTCAAAGTATTAATTCATTGTTTTTTTTTTTCTTTTCAATCATAAAACACAAGGAATAATAGTTATTCGGTACTCTTTCTAAGAATTGCATATTTGAATTTTTTATTTCGTTTTTTTAAGATCAACTACTTATTTATTTATTTATTTTTTAACGAATCAACTACTTATTCCCAAGGGCGGATAAGCCCACCAAATTTTTTTTTTTTTTTGCTATACTAATATTAGCCCAGCTATAAAAAAAACAATTTATTAATAATATTAACCCACTCAATCAGCCCAAGTCAATTCTTTCACCATACTAAAATATAGGCCCAAGCCAAATAAGACCAGGCCCGACCCTGACCCAGGCGACAAACTACAGAGAGGGCAAGTTCAGAATTGAGAACGAGAATAGAGATTGGGGATGCTGAGATGATTTGCTCTAAAAATGTATATTTTTTCTGGTGGCCCAACATCCACGAGCCTATAAATTTTGAGGTCCCATAAATTTTGTCGCCTTGGGTCAGGGCATATCATTTCAGCCTCCCCAGTCTCTATTCTCGTTCTCAACTCTGAACTTCCCTCTCTCTCTCTCTCTGTGCAACTGCAAACTACAAGAATCAGAAGTTCAAAACCCATATATTTCAGTTTATCTATCTGTCTGCAATAATCAAAAGTTCAAAACCTATTACCTATATCAAAACCCATATCGGCATATCATTTCAGATTGTTCAAAAAATCAAAACCCATATCTTCCAGTTTCCATCGCCCGCTGTTCCAGTTCGGGTTCGCCGTTCGCAAGCTTCAGCCGCTGTCTCTCAACTCTCAAGCTTGCCCCCCCTCTCTCTCTGCAACTGCTAACTTGTATGTATGGGTTTTGTTTTATATTTGGTGAAATTTTTTATGATCTTTTTTATATAATTTTTTTTTTTTTTTACAATATAAAGTAACAAATTTGCATTGCATTTTGAGGTAATCACCGTAATCTACATTTTATTTCAGCAAAACAAATATATATTATATATATTTATTTCTATAACTTCTATTTTTTTTTTTTGTCTACAAGAAAATTTGAATCTGGGCATGAAAAAAGGAAAAAGAAAAAAATGAATCTGAATTGGATTAGAAATCTGCAGAGATTGAATCTGAAACAATTTTTATCAACATGCCAAGCTTTTTGAAGATGGAAATCTTTTCAGAACTAAAAAAAAATTATAACAAGAATTTTGACAAGCAAAAGTAGTTAATATAGGGTAAAGCTCTAAAGTTACTTCTTGAAAATTAAAATACTTACAAAAAGCATGCTTTTGAGTGAATTCCATAGTGTTGGAAGGGGCTTGCCATGAACTACCTCACACTCAGCTTCCACTAGTAGATTCTCAAATAGGATTAGTAAATTGTTCAAAAGAAGAGATAGGGTACTGAGTGGTGAATTGTTCAGAAATAAATTGGTCATTTTTTTTTATTAATTACCCAAATAGGATTTTATATGCCTTACTCAGTCAATTGTCTAAAGAAACATTGTTAATTAACTAAAATTGAATTAAACAACAGTTGATTTTGGTCCATATATTTTGATTTAGCCCACCCCATTGAGAAATCTTGGATACCTGATCATTAAATTATATATAAACCATAAGAATTTGTGCGTTCTCCTTGGCGTTTTTCACTTCTTTGTTTTTTTTTTGATTCTTGCCTAAGATTTCCTCCAATGAATTTTTGGCATAAATTGTGGATCAAGCTCATCAATTTTTATTAATAATGATATAAGGATGTGGGGTATGTATTTTATTGTATAGAATTTTCTTTATTTTCAAGTATTTTTAACTTGGAATTTTCTTCTTTTCCCATTCAGACAAGGAGTCTCAGAAATTGGACTATTTTGTTGATTCCCATCCAGATAAGGAGTCTCAGAAATTGGGCTATTTAAAGTGAAAGGTGGAAGGAATTACCACCAATTACCAAACTTTAGCCAACCCCTCATAACTGAGCTACGTTCTAATCCTTCTTCTACAATGCAAACACTCTTCTTCTAAAGCTTTTGGGGGCTCTAGAATGCAAATGTCCACACCAATTCGAGCCCCCACATGGGTCTCCACACGCAGACTCTTTGAAAAAAAGCTATCAGACCTTCACAAGTGCACCAACCTAAACCATGTCAAGCAAGTTCACGCCTACATATACAGAGCCAATCTTCATGATGACCCTTTCGTCGCGCCAAAACTCATTGCTGCGTTCTCGCTGTGTCGCCAAATGGTGTCAGCAGTTAAGGTTTTCAATCTAATAGACGAACCCAATGCTCATTTGTATAATACTTTGATCAGAGCTCATGTACACAACTCTCAGCCCTCACAAGCTTTTGCATCTTTCTTTCAAATGCAAAATAGTGGTGTTTACCCAGATAATTTTACATTCCCATTTCTTTTGAAGGCCTGTTCTGGTCAATCTTCGTTGCAAATGGTTCAAACAATTCACACCCACATAGAAAAATATGGGTTTTGTTCAGATATATATGTTCCCAATTCGTTAATCGATAGCTATTCAAGGTGTGGTTTGGAAGGTGTTTATGCAGCAAGGAAGTTGTTTATGTTGATGGAGGAACGAGACATTGTTTCTTGGAATTCAGTTATTGGTGGGTTGGTGAAAGCGGGTGAGTTAAAAGAAGCTCTTCGGTTGTTCGATGAAATGCCGGAGAGAGATTCAGTGAGTTGGAATACCATATTGGATGGGTATGCCAAGGCTGGAGAGATGGATACAGCGTTTAAATTGTTTGAGAAGATGCCTGGTAGGAATGTTGTGTCTTGGTCAACAATGATTTCGGGTTACAGCAAAGCCGGGGAGATGGAGATGGCAAGAATGTTGTTTGAGAAGATGCCTGTCAAGAATTTAGTTCCTTGGACTATAATAATATCTGGATATGCTGAAAAGGGACTCGCGAAGGAGGCATTAGGCTTTTATGATCAAATGGAGGAAACTGGATTAAAGCCTGACGATGGGACTATTATTAGTATATTGACTGCTTGTGCAGGGTCTGGTTTGCTTGGATTGGGTAAGAGAGTTCATGCTTCTATAGAGAGGAGTAGATATAAGTGTAGTACTCATGTGTTGAATGCTTTGGTTGATATGTATGCAAAGTGTGGCAGCTTGAACACGGCATTAAATATATTTAATGGGATGACAAAGAAAGATCTGGTTTCCTGGAATGCCATGATACAAGGGTTAGCCATCCATGGACATGGCGAAAAGGCGCTTCATCTTTTTTCTAGAATGAAGGAAGATGGTTTTGCACCTGATAAAGTGACCTTTGTAGGTATCTTATGTGCTTGTACTCATGCCGGGTTTGTTAACAAGGGCCTGGATTACTTCTACACAATGGAGAGAAATTATGGGATCGTTCCACAAATTGAGCATTATGGTTGCATGATCGATCTTTTAGGACGTGGGGGACGCCTTGAGGAAGCTTTCAGGCTTGTGCATAGCATGCCAATGGAACCAAATGCCATTATTTGGAGTACTCTTTTAGCTGCCTGCCGAATGCATAATGCTGTTGAACTTGCAGAGAAGGTGTTAGATCGCCTGATTAAATTGGAACCAACAAATGCAGGAAATTTATCTATGTTGTCGAATATCTATGCTGCAGCAGGGGATTGGGGAAGTGTTTCTAATGCAAGGCTGCGGATGAAGAACACAGGCACCCAAAAGATTTCAGGAGCTAGTTCAATTGAGATGGATGATGAGATTCATGAATTCACTGTATTGGATAAATCACACCCTAAATCTGATAGGATATACAAGATGATTGACTTATTGTGTGAGCATCTAAAGCAAGTTGGTCATATTCCAGAGGCATGCTACTAAATTTGTTGCAGATAACGATGGAGGTGGGCATGCTGCTAAAAATGATACTTGTATTAAAATCATTCTTTCAGTCAGCATGGAGAGGGGACCTTGGGGAAGTTGTACATTGGAGAACATAGCAGATAAAATCCTTCCAGATACTTTCCGCGGCTCTCCTAGTCCAGGCATGAACTGACTTTTCAGATAAAAGCAAAGAAGCAGACTTAGGCTTCAATGTCTGTGTAATGTACATTAAGCAAAGTTTGGGCAGATGTCAAGTGCCTTTCATATTTAAACCGTCAGAGAAAGAAATTGTAACAACACTGCTAGATCTTTTTCAATATATTAATTGTGGAGCTTACTATCTCCATGGAGCCTGGATAATGCACTTCCCAAGTCCCCATATCAAGTTTGTTGGTTCTGATTTCTCTTTCAGCGAGCACTTACTTGTAAACTTCCTTCAATGTTATACTCTCTTTTCCTTCATGGGACATTAAATACATATATATATAGTCACACACATATATTGTCACTTTGAACCTTTTGGCTATCAAAGGAAATTGCAAAGACGACATATAGATATTCCTAGTAGATTTCATTTAGTCATATTAGTTTAAAATTTATCTTCTCTTTAAAACATAACTTACTTGAGGAACTGTTTTAGTAAACTGTGCCCCCTCCTAGATGGAAGCCAATCATACACATATTTTGCTTTTGAATGGTTTTCTGCAAATAGCAAATAGCTCATGATGCATTTTTCTTGGAGGACTGGGGACCCGGGAGATAATATCCATTTAGTGCCATAACAAGAAGTTTGTGGTGCGTGTTTGTATTTCACAGGATCTCAATACAGCGCTGATGCGGTCGGTGGAGTGACAAAATTATTGCAAATAATGATCTATAAAAAAAACCAGCAGAGAACCTTAAATCAGTCATTCTGGATAGTCCGTTGGAGAAAATTTTCTGGTGAGTAATGCTACCACGGAATCCTTATGACCTTATCTTCTGTTCATATAATTGTGGAATTTTCACTCTCAAATGCCACAGTTATGGCATTGACATACACATTTTAAATATGCTCCTTTATATATGCCAAAATCCACACTAATTTATCTTCCTTTTTTATATTTAGTTATTATTATTATTTTTTTAAAAATTTCCTATTGAAATTCTATGATCATTTAAGAGATCATGGGAGATCAGAGTGCAATCAGGGTACAACCACTGATGTGTAGTATGTATCTTGAGCATCTTGTATATTGACCCACAGTTCGGAGCCAGTGCCATTTAATTCGGTAGTTGTCAGGCCCACCTTGGCCTAGTAAGGAAGCAATACAGCAGCCAATGTGCACCAACAGCCCTTCTTTTCCTAGATCTAGGCCTGCAGAGACAGCTCCAATGCTTCCAATGATCTGTAACAACAGAGTGTTCAAGACCAGAGACTGAGGGACAGGTACGCAGTGAAAGCCCATGCCATGAATTGTTGTAGATATTCATATAAAAACTTCTGTTGAAGTGACATTCTAATTTATCTATTGGTTGATACTTATTAAATTATCAGAGTATTTCTGGAAAGCCAATTTTTGTTGGTATGCAATGATATTCATCATTCTAGCCGATGTTATCGTCTTTGTTCTATACTAGAATTCTGTTTGTGCCTAGAAAATAGCATTATGGACTTGTAATACTTGTGGTTCTCCATCGTGCACATAGGTCAGGATAATAGAATATGGAATGGCCCTTTTGGTACTTCAGATGATTTATTATGATGCGCTAATTCTGCCTCAGTTGGAAGGACGCTGTTACATATTTCTGAAATATCATTTCTTAATATTGAGCCATTTTTCCCATGTCTACAGATTTAAATAACTTGAACAAGCGACATTGTATTTTTGCATTTATTATGCTGATCCTAGTATTTTAAATGAATGGTTACATAAAACGATTGAATACTCTGCCATCCTTGTGAAATAGGAGAGATCGTGACTCCCAATGAAGCAGATGGGCTGTGAATTCTGGTGTCTAGGTTCATCAATTGCCAGTTAGTTTTATATTATATTTTCCGTTCTTTAGGATGTAAAAGAGAAAAACAAAAAGGAATGATGATAGATGCTGTACAGGAAATGGTAATGCATGGAATTGACTGAGGTTTGATGTTACTGGGAGTTAAGGGCAAAAATTCCCCGTGGTGAAAATAGGAAAAAAAAACCTGTTCTTTCTTCCCTTTTCCTTCCAATACAGGAAGGGAGATTATGTTACGAGCTTGGGAGGGGAACCTATGGCGAAGATAACAATGGTGTGTGTGGTTAGCTAAAATTTGTATTCCTGAGGTGAGGTTCCAATATTTTATGTGTCGTTTGATTATTGTGGTGGTGACTCCCTTATCTTTTCTTGTGCAATATTTTCATTTACAAGGATAGGTTTTGTGCCCTATCCCATGCTTACTTTTATCATTTCTAACTGCTCTGCTTTAGGTATTGTTCTGTCAGCACAAACCACAAACTGCAAGCCCTTCGGGGTCTGGTTCATGCCATCTTATTTCTTCTTCGATCTTGAATGTGAAACAGGATGGCGACTTGACTACTTCCTTGTCTCGGAATCCATAGCTGACAAGGTTCATGACTCGTACATTCTCCCAGATGTTACTGGAAGTGATCATTGTCCTATTGGCCTCATTCACCAGCTCTAGCTTCATCAGCATCATTAAGACATGTCTTTTGGGTATTCAGCACAAAATCATGTGGCTAGTAACAATTTTGGTGGAGGTAATGGTATCATCCTTAAAGGAGGAGCCAATTTAAAGCATTTTTGTGTTTGCGTGAACTACCTGGCTCATAAATGCAAGATTCTGAAGTTGTCGATCAGCATTGGCATGGTGAATGCCAAATTCATTTCTTGAAAATTGGAATCTTTCGTTCACAAAATTATCAAATGAAAACTCTAGGAGTGAGTGGAAATTGATATTTTGAAATGTAGAAATTTTGTTGAAAATTTTCCGAGTTGGTTTCAATTTAAAACTGCTGATTCACAGTTTGTGCATCCATGAACACTACCAGTGGCTGTTTTGGTTAAGATCCATTCAATTCCTTTTTATGTGGAAGCATTTGTATGTAGTACGATTTTTCTTTGTAAACCTTGCAGTAAATTGCTTTGCTTTTGTAATGCAATCTATTTGGTTTGGTTCAGCATGTAATATACAATTAGCTTATTTACTTTTATTAAATTAAATCATGTCTCAACTCTCAACTCGACTTTGATGAACTTTTCAGTCAGCATAAATCAAGTGTAATGTTCCATATACACTCAATTTTTTTTTTTTTTTTTTTTTTTTTTTTTTTAATAAGTAAAAATGTATTAGAGGACTTTGAAAAGGGAAACGCATTCCGTAGACAACATAAAGGCCGGAGCCCAAAAGAAAAGGGCTTACGGACCCAAGGAACTCAAGAAGTCAATTATCTTCTTTATCCAATTACAATTTGTCCCCATCGCCCAATAAAAAAGAAAGCTAATAATGTTAAATTTCAGAACCCCAATGGGAACTTTCTCTCCATCAGAGAATCTTCTATTCCGCTCCTTTTCACGGGCATAGGATCTTCTATTCAATATACTTCTTAAGTCTGCCACTGCAGATCTTCAAACCCATTAAGAGCTTTTTGAAAATACATAATGTCGTCTTTTTGCACTTCAAGTGAATTTTTTTTTTTGAGATATCTGTATATACATAAACAGAAACCTGTGTAAGAGAATTCATAAAATGGACTTGCATTTGGATCTAACTCATTGACACATTTCGATATTTGAATGATTTAGATTTTTGGAATATAAACAAATTTTATGTTTCTGAATGATCTAAATTTAACTAGTTCTATGTAACATATGCAAGAAATTAGTGTTTGAGTAGTAGTCAAGAATTAAAGACAGTATGCCAACTCACTGAAATGGAAACTGCTCATTTCTGTACATTTTCATTTATGTAGTTCTCATTTTCTTTTTTTCCCTTCATTGTATCTATAATATTCGCTGAAAGTTACAACCATTTAGAAGCATATAGAGACAAACAAATTTGTGAGGTGACAAAGCCAATTTGGTTTTTATTCTACCCAGCTTAGGATTCTTTTGATTTTTTCTTTTAAATGAATAACCCTGGGAATTTCTGTAAAGGCAGGTATGTCCTGTTGAAAAATAGAGTTTGTCTCACATAGGGGTCATTTTGAATGTCCAATGGCAGGATGTCACGTGTCACAACAGGCATCTATACGGTTTTACCATAAATTTATAAGAGCACTTTTGCAGAAAAAATCGTCTCCTTGGCACCTCTCACCGAAGGCGATCTAGTGCAGACCACAAGGTTAAAATCTATATTTACCAACTTCTTTGATGTATATACATGGTTGTATAAATTCTTTACACACAATATATAATATATTATTTAATTGAGTGTTGGGTCCCACAGGTAAAGAATTACTGGAGCTTGAGTAATAAATACTCTTCCAGATTTTTTAAACTTTATCTAAAATTTGAAACTCTCCCGAAATCTTTTTCTTCCAAATTACTCCCCCAAAATCGAAACTCACTGGCCGCCGCATTATAGGAGAGGTTGCGCTCCTCTCAATCCATGATGAACTCCATCGCCATGGTTGGACCTGTGTGTGTGAGGGGGTTGAGATCTCATTTTTGGTGTTTAATTTTGAAAAGAGAAAAAGAGGAAGAGAGAAACGGGAGGCAAATGATGTATTGTAGAATTTTTTTGTATTATAGATTTGTGTTTATGGTAAAAATTAACACAGCAGAGTTAATTTGTTTAGCTCTGTGCTGAATTGGCGATGACTAGATAATACTGTGATATAATTTGAATAAGTAGGTAGATCACAGCCGTTAGATCCTCAATGGACCGCATCCGATGAGAGGTGCCATGGAGACGATTTTTGCCATTTGTCGTGACACGCCATTGTGGCAATTCTCACAGTCGACACATCAGGAGGCCCCACAGCTTGCTTGTGATTGTTGCAACAATGGCCTAAAATATAAATTTCCAATTTATAAAGAATTCCAATAAATTGTCGTCACTTGTCAATGCTCCTCCGGGTGGAAAAATAACCCTCAAAAGACTAATGGCTTGGAGCATCACTCTCATAAAGTGCTAGAAGTTATATACAACCTAACTACTGATATGGATGAAAAAAAAAAGTTAGAATTAGTTGGAACCACCGACTCCAAGAGGTCCACATGTACGTTGTCAGTCTTCTTTTATTGTGCTACGGGTAAAGTCATATCCATTTGCCCATACTAGGGAAGAAAAACATCTTTGCTTGGATTGGATGGGATTGAATTTTACTTTGTGGTCTATATTTTGCCTCACTCGATAGTTTGAATCAATCTTCTTATCCTTTAGTCTCATTCCATATATTTTATAAGCACATCAATCTCCAAATCCTTTTGCATCTTCAATTGCAAAAACTTGCAGAAAATTGAGAAAAAAAATCGAAAATCATGGAAGCCTGTTTTCTTTCCTCGAATTCCTTCACTAAAACCATTGAATTCGTCCCCTCGATCAAAGCAAGGATTCTTTCTTCCCCCAGGAGAAAGTCCAGTCAATTTGATTGTAGAAAAGCTGGCATTCCATCTTCTATAACATGCGAGTGCTTAAAACTTCTTCATCCATCGCTATGAATTTGAATTTTTTTTTTCTTCTTTATTGTGTTTTGTGTTTGTCTATATCAATCTTAATTAATATGGGTCAGATTTAGTGTTTTTTGTTGATCGTGGAATCCATTATATAATAATATTTGACATTAGAATTTGTCCATATGGTTGAATATTTCTAATGGGTTGTGTCAATAATAGGTTGCCAATTGGGATCACCATCTCCGCAAGACAGTGACAAACCTTTTGTTGATCCTGACTGGCGATCATTCAGAGCAAGATTAGTTGCCGGAGAACGAGCATCAAGGCCGGAAGAGGCGCCTTCCTCCGCGGTTGATCCCGATACTGCGGTGGATCAACCTCCACCAGTTAGTATTGGGAGAAAATGGGCTCACACAATCCATGAGCCTGAGAAGGGCTGCCTTCTCATAGCCACCGGGAAGCTTGACGGGGTCCACATTTTCGAGCGGACGGTCATCCTGCTCTTATCAACAGGTCCGGTGGGTCCAACGGGGATCATACTCAACCGGCCGTCGCTGATGTCGATCAAGGAGACAAGATCAACGGTGCTGGATGTGGCGGGAACGTTCTCGGATAGGCCGTTGTTCTTTGGTGGGCCATTGGAGGAAGGGTTGTTCCTGGTGAGGAGTGATGGTGGTGGTGATGATGGGGTGGGGAAGAGTGGGGTGTTTGAGGAAGTGATGAAAGGGTTGTACTATGGAAGTAAGGAGAGTGTGGGTTGTGCTGCAGAGATGGTGAAGAGGGATGTGGTTGGGGTTGGGGACTTCAGGTTCTTTGATGGGTACTGTGGGTGGGAAAAAGAGCAGCTCAAGGATGAGATTAGGGCAGGGTATTGGACTGTGGCTGCCTGTAGCCCAAGTGTTATTGGGCTGGCTAGTGTTGGGAATCTTGGGCTCTGGGAGGAGATACTTGGGCTCATGGGCCCAAAAAAGGTTTGGTGAATCCCATAGCCATTCAAACTTTGTACATTACTTAAGGGCACATCATGGGTCTTCCCAAATTGCAACCCCAAGTGCCCATTTAGGGTTATTGTAATGGGAATTTGTGTGTGTGTGTGTGTGTGTTTTATTTTTATTTTAATGGTGCACAGAAAAGGTAGTATTCTCAAATAATGTGCGGGTATTATGTGAAATAGTAGAGTAAATTAAAATAACATTTCTATCTTGTGTATTATGCATTTTTTATAGTTATTTTAATGTGCTCAAGACACGATTGGTTCTTGCATTTTTAGATATCACAGAGCAGACACAATATGGATTTTTTTTTTTATTGGCACCCACTTGCTCGGGACTTACCTTACACTTGAATAAAAATAAATAAATAGATAAAATAAAATAAAATAATAGACACAATATGTTTACAAGCATAATCGCTTATACAGATTATTTATTTTTATCATCTGTAGATGAACTAGATATCTGTTAATTTCTATAGCCACATGGCAAACTACCATAGTGTTTAGACTAGTTACCCAAGTCAAGGTCAAAGCATTCTTGTGGATCTATCATTGAGACTGTTAGTGTAATATGTGGACCTGAAGAATAGACATATAGGGGATGTGAAAATAGGATTGAGTGTATGTGCCATCCTCTATTTGTTTTATTTATTTATTTTTTATTTTTTATTATTATTTTCTGATAATCACTGTTGCTCAACGATTGGAATTTTGAATTCCATTAGTTAACAGAACTAGAGCTCTGTATTGGGATTGGGCGACTCGCCCATTACTTGTTTCAGGCTTTCAGCTGGGGTTTTATTTGGGATTGGGCCACTCGCCCATTACTTGTTTCAGGCTTTCAGTTGGGTTTTATTTGGGCTTGGGCTACATACCTTTTGTCATTGCATCGTAGGTGTCTTCTAACTGATGCCCTCTTTATATTGGGCTTGTAAGAGCATCTCCAACCCACCTGCTATATGGGTTGCCAATTCAAAATATAGCAGGTAGATTAAAATTAGGCCCACTAATGAGCTGCTATTTCACCTGTCAAAAATTGTCTTTGCTATTTTTGGTGCCAAATCTAGTAAAACTTATAGCAACAACTATTTCTATATCTCTGAATCCTATCCGTCCTCTCTCTTTCTCTTCCTCTCTCATCCTCATATATGTGTGTGTGTGTGTGTATATATCTCTTTCTTCTCAAATCGGTTTTGAAAAAGATCATAAAAAATTTCACCAAATAGGATTTAGTTTGTAAAACAAGAATTAAAGACATTGATTAGTTAATTTAGGGAAAAAAAAAAAAAAAAAAAAAAAAAAAAAAAAGCAAAACCCATACGTACAAGTTAGCAATTGCAGAGATAGATTGGGACAAGCTTGAGAGTTGAGAGACAGTGGCTGAAGCTTGCGAACGGCGAACCCGAACTGGAACAGCGGGCGATGGAAACTGAAAGATATGGGTTTTGAACTTCTGATTCTTGTTGATTTTGTAGTTTGCAGTGGCAGAGAGAGGGGGCAATTTCAGAGTTGAGAACGATAATAGAGATGGAGGCGATTGGGGAGGCTGAAATGATTTGTTCTAAAACTATATATGGCGATTTGGGAGGCTGAAATGATTTGCCCTAAATATATATATATATATATATATATATATATTTTTAATAATAATATAATCAAATATATATATATATATATAAATTTTTGAGAAAGAAAAAAAAATTATATAATTTTTTTTTATATAATAATATAATCAAATATGTATATAAATATACATATTTAGGTCCTTTTTTGACCAGATATTTTAAATTTTTGATTCTTTTTAATTAAGTTTAATTTTAGTTTCCTTCTAATGTGTACCACTTAACTTGGAATGTGCGTAATATTAATATTACTGATGCAAATATGAATTGTGGTAATGGTAGTTGAAAAAAAATAATGGTTGTGTCAAAAAATATCATTTTGCATAAAATATATCATTGGAGCAAAATTGCTAAAATGTAGCATTTTGACACTGTAACACTGTCAACATATAGATTTGGCATCCGAATTTAACATTTTACCATTGGAGATGCTCTAAGTTGTTCCTTCTACTTCACATAAGCTGAGTCGAGTGGAGTGGAGCTTTGGGCTGCTCGAGTTCGACCCGAATTAGAGCGAGCCTAATTTAGCCAAGCTCAAGCTCGGCTTGATAGAATTTGGGTAAGCTCGGCTTGGCTCGGGCTCACATACCGCATACATGCCCAACGAATCACTGCAATGATAATCCTAAAAATATACGGAGTATATAATAGGGAAAAAGTGTAGTGTATATATATATATAATATAGTATCTAACCCCAAAAATATACACTTTTTCATTCGGAAGAGTAACACAAGGAGGCTATTGTCCTCAGCCGCCGTAGATCGTCCCCTTGGCCAACTCCTTCGATTTGAAGCTCTTCCACTCATTCCTTCCATCTCTGCAATTTTTCCAAGCAATCAAAGTCTTATTAATAATGATATAATGATGTGGTGTATTTATTTTCTTGTATAGAATTTTCTTTATTTTCAAGTATTTTTAACTTGGAATTTTTCAGACAAGGAGTCTCATAAATTGGGCTATTTAAAGTGAAAGGTGGAAGGTTGTTTTTTATCTCTAATTTTTAATGGATACGATGTATCGGCTAAAGACATATTGGTGGTTCAGCAGAGTTGATCTCAATCTTGATCCTCCACCGTCTAATTCGTTTGGCCTAATGGTACGAGTTTACAGAAAAGAGTTCCAGTTGTTCAACGATGACGAAACACACTCATGCTTCTCTCAATTGAGAAAAACAAAACACCCAATTTCCACAACTGTGTTGTTGTCTGATGACGAAGCATACTCATGCTTCTCTCAATTCCTCTCTACTGTCGGAATCACGTGACTATATATTTCATAAAATTCTCTCCGGTTGTCGTGCCGTAACTACTAGCCAACCCTTCTCTAAATCCTACCACTCATCACCAGCAATCGTGACCAGCTCTCTGACACACCTGACCATTTATTTAGTCGCATTCTCTCTGGTGACATTACTATTGACCACACTTGTTCTACCACCACTAGCACACCCTTTTTTTCATAGACACGTTGGTTTTGTATTATCCGTCCGATGGCGATGGCGATGGTTAAAGACTGTACCGGCAAGTAAGCAATCCGTTCAGGCTTTGGAGAAAGTGATGGTAAACAAGGGTTACATGGATCAATGTATGATTTGTTTCGTCAAGTTTCGAGTTCGTACTATAGTGACTCGCATGCCATGTGATCATGTCTATCATGAAAAAGGCATTGTTCATTGGTTAGAGATCAGTAACTTTTGTCCGATTTGTCGCTTCAAGATGCCGACCACAATTGAATGATTGGAATTGGAATTGTTTTTTGTTTTAATTGATTGTAATGGCACACTGTTTTTATTTTATTTTATTTTTTCTAGTGAATGTAATGGCATTTTTGATAATATATATAAATCGTTTTGTTTTTATCAATTCATGTAATATGTTGTTAATTTTTTGGTTCTTGATTTACTATTCTGTAGTACAACTTCAGTTCATTCTTAATGAATAGACTTATTGGATCCAATCATTATAAGATCAATAATTAAATTAAGAAAAATAAAAATAAAAAGTTCTTCAAGGGTCCAACTAATGAATAATATACTCCCTAAAAGAGCACAAATCCACAGCCTACAACAAGAAACCAATTAATGTAAGAAAAGAAAATAATTTCAGATTCTCAAAATAACCTTTGCACCTCCAATATATTTTTATGTGTGGCTTGGGATGGTCACGAGTTCCAAATCAGTTTTTGTGATAGGGTTTGGCGTTGGGTTGAGAATTTTTCGATTGGGTTTTTGAAAATTTTGCAATTGGGTTTTCATTGTGATTGGGGTTGAGAATTTTTATGAAATCAAATTTCTCTCTTCTAGATAAACGGTGCCATGAATAAGGAATAGGCAGGTCGAAGATGATATAGACATAGGGTGGGCATTGTTAGTTTTTGCTCTAATTACACTTTGTTGAGAATAAGTGGGCGAGACAAACAAATACAACTCAGTATAATTTGAAAGAGAAATGGGGAAGAAATATATTACTTCACTTAAACCCAACTTATTATTCATTCTAAAATAACTAGAGTATATGATTATATAAGCCTCACAAACATATATGTAACCATTACATTTAAATGCCTAATTAGTAATTACACCCACTATTTCCACTAACATGATATTTAGTAAATATAGTTCCTACTAATATAATCATTTAGTCTTAACTCTCGTAACCTTAGTTTTACATAATCTTTATCATCACACTAATTCTCATAACCTCCAAGTGCAAGCCAAACAAACGCTTAAGCTAGTCCCCAATTTTGAAATTCTCCAAACCATAACATCATGGTCTCAAATGGAAGCTCTTGCCAAGTAGAACAAAACACTCTTCTTGCTTTTTATCAAATTCCTAGCCTAACCTTCTCAAATCTTGGTTTAATTTTCAAAAGACATATATGTGTATAGACGTAGAGAAAAAATGAGAAAGGCTAGAGAAAGAGAGCATATTGTTACGCCCCACCTATGGAGGTTATGCCACGTAGGTGACACACAGACGTTGAGTAGGATGCTGCATGGCGATTGCATGGCATGGGAGTTTCTAGAGTCTTCCGGAGTAGTTTAGAGTTGTGTGGAAGATTCTAGATATGTGTAGAATATTGTAGAATTGTGTGGAAGGTTGTAGAGTTCTCTCGAGTTGTGTGGAGTAGTATGGAGAGTTCTAGAATGTTGTAGATACTTGTAAATATATATGGAAGTGTAAAGAATGTGGAAGAAGATTTTAGAGAATCGATCTCCACCATCGGTTAGAATACATCCTAGCAATCCATTAGGGATGTGGATGCCTATAAATAAGAGTATGACTTCATTTTGTAGCAATCAAGTCCTGGAGTGAGTCTTGAGAGCCTTGTACAGAGTTTGAGAGCTAGCCTTATACAAAACATTCTTTAAAGTAATTGAAGTGTTCTTTCCTTACCAACTTAAGTGCCTTAGTGTGTGTGAGTGTGCAAGCCAAGTGAAGAGAGGGCGAGGGCCACTACAACACTAGTAAGCGCACGAGGGGAGTGCGTTGGCTAAGGTGGGCATGGTAGTTAGACTGACCAAATACTTGCGACAGTAGAAGTAATGTCTTGATGCCGCACGGGAGTAGCTAAAGTGGTGCTGAAACTCTAA